TATATATATATATATATATATATATATATATACGTATATATATTACTAATTAAATATTATAACGAAAAATAAATACAATCATTAAGCTAATAGAAATTTTGTTATTTCTTTTATATGGACATGTTTGCATTTATATTTGAATATTTTGCATATTATCTTTTCAATTAAATTAAAAGCATAAATTTTAATAAATGTGTTTAGCGTAAAAAAAAAGAATACAAATCGGACAAAGAATTTACATCTTATATTTCTTTTTTACTTTTTTGTGTTGCTTTTACGAATTTGAAGCGTTTCAATAAAACCTGTTTCTAAAACGCGTTTGCGCTAACCTTCTATAGCATTTATCGACTAAGACGTCCAATTTGTTTACTTCTATCATTCACAGATTTATCATTCAATGATTTGTAATCAACATACGAATATCTACACGCATAAACAATGACATTATTTATGCTGAATCACTTAACTGGAAATTTGCATAAACAAACGATAAAAATTGCTTTTGAACGTTTACTTCGCATTTCATGCCTTTGGGCATACTTAAAATCATTTTCTCTTCAACAATACCTTGTTTAGAGAATATTGTACATGCTCTCTTTAAAGTCTTTGAAGTGGAATCTAACTCTAAAAAATGAGTCTCACTCTTAATAATTGACAATTGAACTACTCTTTTTCAACAACTGGCTCAATTATCACTGTTATCACACTTTAGAATTAAATTCCTCTCCAAAGATTTTAGAGAGAGTATATGATACTTATTATTTTCAATATTAACTATCTCAAAAATCACATTTTTATTAAAACTTTATTGATATTCAAATTTTGTGAAAGCAATATCTTATGTATTAATTATTGGTGGTTTTATTAAGCTAGGAGATGTCAGAAAATGACTGTTTACGGCTCTAGAATTTTGAAATATTAACATATTTGTTTTTATATTGTTGAGAAAGTTGCTAGCGGAAGACTTCAATATATCGGAAGAATGATGCAAACTCAGTAATAATGAAATCCACCATAGGTACTCCTTCATATGAAATACATCTGTGTATCTATATTTCTTTACTTTTATGCTCATACCTTGAATTATTTTTTGGATGTAGGAAGTGGTATGTGTTCGACGACCTTCTTTCCTTCTTTTCCTCTCTTCTCTGTCTTTCCCTTTCTCTCTCCATCTTTTTGTCCTGTCGCTTCGTCGACGAGTGAGAGTGCCTCTCCGACATCTATTTTTAACCGTCCTCACCACGTAATTCAATGCCTGACTTCCATGCGTCTTGCGGTCGAATGTAAGCGACAGTAACTATCATCAAAGAACCATACGCGTTGACCGCAACAGTGCAACCGGAATTACGTCATAATTGAAGATAATATATACAGAAAGAAAAGAGAAATAACCGCTCTATGCATCATTTTCACATCGAAAAATCCTTAATGATCACAAACCCAGTTAAGGCCTGTTTTACATATGATATTGCTTTTTATTTTATTTTATTTTATTTTTTTGATCCCTATAATTTTATATTTCAAGATTATGTGCAAGTCTTCTTTAGATAAGTTGTATTGTTTCTTTAGATAAGATGTTTAATAAAATATAAATTTAAAAAATTTTCAAAAATTATTATCAAGCCAAAAATTAATTTTTTTAATTAAAATTGATTATTTCTTTAAGATTTATTATTTTATTATAAATTTATTATTTATTTCTTGATAAATGAATTTATTAAGAATTGAATCTCCCACTTTCTTGGATATTAGATACATTTGACATTAACGATTCAGATGTTCCATTGTTATACTTCTTCTTTGATGTTTTCTTTCTTCGAAAGATACATTAAAATTTTATTTTTATAAATATTTATCCTGTTTATAAAATCTTTCAAATAAGAATTCTTATTTTTATATTGTCTTTATAATAATATCAGATTTTATTTGCTTTTCTATGAAAAAACACAACACAATTTCATATTTACAATTTTCAAATAAAACTGAGAGAAAACTTATACTTTCACGCGTATTACATATCATTACGTAATTTTATAATTATAATTTTCATGCCGCATTTAGCCTGAAATGTTTAAAGATTCTCATATTTTTTGATGTATTTGTTTAATTTAAAGTCATTTAATATATTTATATTTAATACGTTGCTAATACATTGCAGAAATTAATATGCATACATATGATACTTCGAGTATGTATACAGTATGACATTGCAACAAAATTTGTATGTAACAGTTGCATTTATTTCTAAATATAACGATAAATAGCAATTTGCCTTTTTGAAGAACAGCAAATTTCTAAGAAAATATCCTTTGATTTTTCTTTTCGCTTTTGAATGATCTTTTTGTTACGCGCGAAATCATCTTTTCGGATTTACGCGAAAAATGTATATAAAATTGCGTATAAAATGACGATTACACGATCGATGTTTGTTATTTTGAATTTTTGCTCCTTTTAAATCTGTTTTTTTCATACTCCTAATTCATCGACTCCGAAGTTCCGCGTCAGTAGAACTTCAGGTAACGCTAAAAGTAAGTAAGACATAAACAAGGCACCGCATGCTATAAATTGCGCATTAAACGACGCGTATTCTTGGTTACATAATCCACGTGCATTATATCCACGTATCCTCGGCACGCTGTGGCATAAGTAGTACGATGCTCTGCCGATCTTTCGGAAAACTGGGTCAAGGAACTAATAAATCAATTCTATATATTAGTATAATCAAATGTAAATGATATTGTATGTATGTAAAAGATAATTAAGGAAAAAATCTTACTCTTTTTTCTCAATACAAGATTCTTAGACCTTAATAAAGATTTTAGTATCACATTAGAGAAAGAAAAATTAAAACTAATGTTTACACATCTAATTAGAAGTGGTTTCAGCATACTGATTAAACATTAAAAGTAGAAAACTTTATACTGAATTTTTATTTTTCTGTAGGTAAATTAATCAAGTAGATTTATTTTTTGTGAAATATTTATCGAATAGCAATATTTGTAATAAATTGCCGTTCTAATCAAATTAACGTTATAAAAATAAAAAAAATACTGCGATAATTTATTCACAAAGCACTGAACACCGTACGGATTCAATAAACGGTCGTTCACTTTTGCAGGTTTCACCGCGTGTACATTGACAAATCCGATTTGGTTTATAAAAACCAGACTACAGCTGGACCATCGGTCACAAAAAGTCACAGCGATAGAATGCATGCGGAGGATATATCGACAATCGGTAAGATATCAAATATTATTTTTTATCGTGATTTGCAATTCGAAAGACTCGATGAAATTGCCGTGTGACCTACGGTATTGAATTTTATAAATTTAACTCTTACATTTGCAAATTTCTTAATTCTTAAATTGACAATTGTCGATTCTCTCAGTAAAGCTTTTTAAAATTAAAATAAATATTATTGCGTGAAAAAAACACAATGAGACCATAATCATGTCGAGATGAAAGGCCAATGAAATAAATGAAGTAATTTTTGTATTATTTAAATAATTCGTGCATATTATATTATTAACATTCTATCTTTTTGTAAGATTTTTTATAATATTTTTTATAATATTTTTAGCTTATAATATTTTATCGTAGAAATTGTAATAATGTATTTAATATATTTTTTTATATGAAAATGACATTGCTGTTATATGCTAGAAATCAAACAATTATGTAACGTTAAATATAAGATGTGTATACACGCATCTTTCTTTAGAACATTGTAAAGCGTTTCGCCACAGGATTTACTTATTTTGTAACAGATGGTAATTCCTATATTAGTTTCCTTTTAAATAGATAATTCTACTATACTAACACTACTATACTAACAATAAGTAAAATAAGATACATTGTGTACCATAAACGTAATATTATAGATATAGATTGCGCGCATTCCCTGATCTCAACATCTGTGCTCCATTAGAAAGACAATGCAATATATTGAATCCTATTAGCATCTCTCTTTAAAATATTTTACTCTATTTTTTTAGATATTTGAGAGAGAGAGAGAGAAGCTATTCTTTTTAAATCGATAATGACAACTTTATAGGAATACAGTCTATGCTTATCATGTCTATGCACAGTTGTACCTATATTATGAAATTGCTATTTAACTTAAACTTTAAACTATAAAAAATACTGTAATTATCTCTAAATAATAACTAAAAAATATACTTAACTTTGAAACGATATCCTTATTTCCAGCATCCTCTAGAATGGCACATATAAGTCATTTGTGTCTGAGATTACAATTTTGAGATAAAATCTGTAAAAATTCACACATGTTCTTGAAGGTCTCTACTAAATTATTCTGCTATGTAGACAATGGAAAAAAATTTGAAAAAGTTATTTACGTAAGTATAGAAAAATAAAAACTGTTAGAAATGTCTTGGACACGAATGATCTATGTGTACTTGAAAATATAATATAATATAATATAAATATAATAGTTTTATGTAAGATAAAAGTTTTAATCTGAAGTCTATTCCCATCTCCTATATTTAGAAAACAGTTCGAAATTATGAAAAATCGCAAAATATGTATAATATTCAATCATTTCGAGAAATTCCAACTCCCTTAAAAAAGTAATTCTCCGAAATTCTTCCGAAATGTATTTCGTTTTTCATAATTTTCAATTGTTTCCAAAATGTAGGAGATGGAAGCAGATTTTATAGACACCCTGTCTATTTGTTTGATGACATATTTTATTACTTACTAAAATGAAAATACTAAAAGTCAGTGACATTACAGAAAAATATATGATTTTTTTTTAACAATTAATATTTTTATATAATACATAAAGATAAATTCATTAATAAATATCAAATCTTTTGTTTATACTTTCTTTCTGGAATTCTACAATCTGGATTTCTTCAGAATCTAACTTTTTGCTCAAGTTTTCTCCTTTCGTAAAAATTGAGATTTTTATTGATAATTTCTGAGATTATAAGTTTATTGATCGTTGCCAGATCATCGTCGAAATTACATCACACTGTTTAAGGATATACTTACATCGCGGTAACGAATTGAAGAAAATTTAAAATAACCAAGGGATTCCCTGTAGAATATCAACGATCGATGTCACAATGGTATCGATGAGTATTTATTTAGTTGCAAGATTATTTTCTCAGTTAGAGCAACGATAGGTACAGCACTTATATTGGAGTAGCTTTATCAGATATAGAACTGATGTAATCATTCTTCAATATCTTAGATGTAGATATTGAAGTTATACGAAGTTTTTTTCGTATTGAAGAAATTTTATATTATAGTTCAAAATTCTCTCTCTCTCTCTCTTTCGTAAGATATATTTTAAGAAATTATTACGAATAAATTTATTATTTGACTGCAATATATATAAAAATATACTATAAGCTTTGTGAATGTTTGCAATTAGTAGAATTCTGTTTAATCACTTTAATGGAAATACTACATAAAAATTCTATAGTTAACCATGAAAAAAACAATTTTCTAAGAAGGCTATTATAAAGAAAAAAATTATATTTAACTCATTCCTAGAGAGAGAGAGAGGGGGGAGATAGGGAGGAATATTACAGAAAAGTAAAATTTCTTATATTTAACTGTAAGATAAGATAAAATAATAATGAATTAATTTGTTGAATTATTCATTTCGTAAAAAATAACGACTTTCATTGAAAAGAAATATTTGCTTTCAACGTATGGATAAATTGTTCGCTTGTTTCATCCTGTGGACATGTGTCAAATTGAATGTGTTTACTTGGAGATAGCGACTGCATCATTTATATGCACGTGTACTAAAATTGCGTTCGACACGTCGGAATCGGGCCAGCTTCAAAACTGACGCCATGAATAGTACATCTACAAATAGTATATTCAAGTAAAAATATCTTGGAAAATTCCACTGTGTGTTGAGCAACGCTCATGTAATAAATAAATCTGTATATCCTGTTATTATCTCGTATATCATTGCATGAATTCGTGCATAAAATTGAAAATACAAATTGACATGATGTACAATGAACAGTTTTACATAAATATCTTTATATACAGTTGAAGTTATAATGATTAAAAATGCAGAAGATAATTAATTATAGAAGTTGATATAAAACTTATTTTTATACGTATATACGAATATTATTAAATAAATGAAAAACACACTCACAAATTTACTAACATATTAATAAATTATAGACAGATAATAAATAATAAATAATAAATAATTTATATGCTGTACGATTTGGATTTTAAATTGAATTAATAAGATGATAATCTGGTTATTAATGGGTTTCTCTATTATAATATCATCGAATGTTACTTTATCTGTGTATATTTAATATCTATCTATTATCATGCATACCTCTGGATCGCTAAATTGCGAATACATAGCAAATGTATAGCTTAAATGTTTTTAGCTTTCTTATCACAGATACAAATATTCGATTTAAATATTATATCTTTAACCGAGCATGCAGATATCACATGTTCTCTTTTTTGGAATCTTTATATCCAAACTTTAATATATCATAAGAAATGCTATATATCATTTTTTATTATATTGCTATTACTTCATTATTCAAAGATATGATTTCTTATTGTGTATATTTTGCGATATTATTAATAATTAATCAATATTAATATGTACATGGTAATATAATGAATAACATATAATAGTGTCATATTTTTTTATTTAATATACATAATCTTATTAATTGTTAATAGTGAATTAGCTATTAAATTTTTTTTTAATAATTTGATATTTTATTATTTAAAAATTTAAATATATATTTTTATTTTTTCTTTTTTAATATCATGGAACTAAAAGAAAAGTAGTATAATCTTAAAATTATTAGATTAATATTCTTATTACACAATTTTGAAATTTGAGAAAATATTGCATTTACAACATTAAAATAAATCAGATTCAGGGTATGATTCATGATATTTATGTGTTTTTTTATCTTCTTGTAGGGTATCCTGGGATTCTACAAAGGTATCGTGGCATCCTACATAGGCATAAGTGAGACTGTGATACACTTTGTGATATATGAAGCTGTGAAGGCGTGGCTAGCTACACATAGATCGCGTGCTTCTCAAACAGATGACAGGAAGAATATTATAAACTATTTTTTGGAATATATTATTTGGATTTATGGAACGCTCACTTAAACTTAATCATTTCTTAAACGAAACAAATGTAGAATTCTTTTAATGGTTACTACAATTTATAAGTTTCAACGACTATAATTTACTTAACTCTTTTTGTGTCTGTATACTCAAGTTAGTTACAATATTTGCGGTATGTTAGATTGATTTTAATATTCGATGAATATTAAATTAAATATTTAATAAAAATTTATATCAATAATTAAAAATATTTAGCTCTATATAACTCACTATTAAGAGAACATGCTACATTAAGAATATCATTAGTCATTGATTATTTAGAACTGTAGATAAAAAAAATATTTAAAAAATTATCTCTACAACAATATAATCTAAAGATTGTGCTATCAAAATACAATTTTTTAGAATTACTAGGTAACATTTTTTTCTTTTTAGTAAAATTATTTAATTTAGTAATAGTTTATTTGAACTGATGTATGCTTAACGCATTCACCTCCAAGCATATTTTACGATATTTTAGCTAATTTTCTGTTTATATTTTTAAATGAAAAAATTGAATTATTTTATCAAAAAATTAAATTTATAGTATTGAACATAAAAATATAAGATGTAATGTATTTATTTGATTGTCGTCCCGTGGCGATTGTTAGTAAATAACAAAGCATAATAAAATTCGATGTTGATAATTGTCATAATGAATAATGTATTAACAGAGCATGTAAATTATAAAAACTTTTCTCTATAGTATTCTGATTTTATTAATGAGTAGTAGATTTTTTTCTCTACCATTACTTTGCGAAGATTCTCCGAGTTGGTCTAAAGATAACACCAGCTATATTTGCAACGCGTGCCAGACATTCGGTGTAATTACGCGTTATATCTATCTACTAATATTTGTGGCGTTCTGGTTGTTTGAATAAATAATATCGGACCCGTAAAAATTATACTGCACTTCTTTCGAAACTGTTCTGCAAATCAATATTATCATATACAGATCGCGTGCGTCTTTTCGTAGAAAAACGAATTACATGAAATCAGACCATTTCTATTCAGAGAAAACGGCGTCATCACATATCAAGTTATTTTCGATCGTTACGATAATAGAAAATCAATTTTATAATTATATATTTTTGATGCACTTTACTTTGTTCTAATCTTATTTAAATATCATTAAAACCATATTGTAGAAATTGCTGGCCCAAAGTACACAGAATTCTTATACATAGATTTTTTTCAATTTTATAATAATTAAAATTTCGATCTGAGAAACTGAGGGATCCTATATGAAAGTTATTTGTCTGAGATTACCTTAAAAATGAATATAAACACATTTATGCGGATAGAATATTCACCATCTTCAACAATAATTTCATGATAGACGTAAGAGTTCCGATCAAGGATGAAAATATAATTTATATTCTTTTTCCTATTTAGAAGTCGCAAGAACCCGGTTGCGGGAAGAAGGTACCAAGTATCGCACATTCTGGCAAACCTTGAATACTGTATGGACGGAAGAGGGCACAAAGGGTCTCTATCGAGGCCTTGGCACTCAGCTGATTCGGCAGATTCCGAACACCGCTATTATAATGGCAACGTATGAAGCTGTAGTATATATACTGACCCGACACTTCCGGCCGGTTACGGTGGCGACATCCAGCACTGATGTGACATCGGAATTCTATAACGAAGCTAAAGCGAAGAGAGAGCTGGCCTAGGATTTGCTTACGGCCCCCGAGTAAAGGGCCACCTATCAACCATTTCCCCTTCTCCAGTAGGCGAATACTGCACGTATTCGGGACAGCATCCTAAGATCTAATCGCACATCTAGGCACATCGAGAGCAGCTGGAAACGCGTTCGATGCCCTAATCATTGCTCCAGGGGTACTCAAAAAGGTACCAGCTCTTTGGTCGCACTGTGCTCTAAAAGTATAGCAAAAAGTAGTCCTTCCTCCTTTCAGATAGCATGTACATATCCAGACACGGACCCGCTGTATCTCGCAGGGAGAGAAAAGGGGAATTGAGGAAAGCAGATTTTATTTAACGTCGGATAGACAAAGGCTGAGACTTCGCTTCTCGTTCGCGAAAATGTGTACGTGAATATCGCAAAAAGTGGGCTCGTATTGTGTTATAAAATTTGTTCAAGGCAAATTAGTCTCTGCTCCAGAAACAAAATTCACTTCGAATTCAAAATGTGTGAGGCTCATTATAATAGTCATTGTAGACTTTAGTTTCTGACCTAAGAGTTTTAATTCTGATACTGTTCTTTGTTCTACGATTTACAATTTTTCTTTGCTCCTTTTTTCATTTTTTATTCACAGGATAAAATTAAAAAGAAAATGAAAAACGTAAAATTAGACTTTGGAAAAGGATTATATTTGTAACTTTACAATGCTTCGTGAAAGAGCGGCAAATTTAATATGTGTAACAATTTTTGAATTTGTAAATTATATAAAGCATAATGATTTGATTTTCCATTTGCTTCAAGTGAAATATTTGTGCTAGAAATCGATTCTTTTAACTGGTTTTGGTAATGTAATATATTGTAGATCTACTTCTCTTAAAAGTTTCAACATTTCTATCTTAGAATTCTAGTAAAACTCATATGTTGTAAAATTGTGATAAATATTTCAATATATATTAAATTTTACGAAAAAAATTGTTTTGCTTTATGTTATATATCACAAAACTTTGAACAGCAGTATATTGAAAATTATATACTTTATTTTGATTAGCACATCCAAGAAATGTTACCCCACAAATAATCTATTTGAAAAATTATTAAATTATGACTGAACGATCTATGTTTATGATTCTTATAAGTTTTTTTATATATTTGTTATGTTGACATTCTGTTATATTTGAATTTATGTACGAGGCAATTTTCAAAAATTTCCGGAATCAATATTTACACAATATTTACAGTATATTTGAATTTTAATTCTATACAAATTGGAGAAACATTAATTGTCGCAAGCATATGATGACGGAGCAATAAAAACAATTTCAAAACAATTGAAAGAAGTGTTTTTACTGACATCATCTAAAATGCGCCAATTTAGTTTTTTTTCGCAAACTAACTCTTGGAAATACTTTCAGTAGTTTTGCAAAACTGCATAATTATACAGAAAAAGCAGAAAATTTTCGTTGAAGAAAATGTTACATTCTAATACGAAATTTTGTTTGTAGATAATGTAATGTAAATAATTGTGTTTTGTATTTTAGAAAAATGAAAAATTTCCAGAAATTTTTAAAAATACCTTCTATACTTTATAAAGTTTTATAACATGTTTTCCAATAAATTCAATTTCACTTTATTATAGCGACAATTTCTGTTCGATATTTATTCTTTGTTTATGATTTTACTGTTTTTTTTTGTATTCAGCAATCAACTTTCCTCGCCGATATTTTGCGATAAATTGCAACTAATTCTTAATGAATCAATATATGTTTGAACTTATTCTTAGAGACAAAGTAACAATGGGCGCGTTCAATCCGAACAAAGCGGTTGGCTTTGTCCAACTGCTGCTCGTCAAGCGATTGAATGTGGTTGGTTAGATCTATAAGTAACAACCAATCCTTCATTTGCTTGGCGAACAGGCTAGCCAACTGCCGACTTGAACGCGCCTAATGTTAATATTAGACTACCTGTCAGAGGACTAGCGTGTATTAGACTGTTCTGATAGATTCCACTTTATTTATATAGAAAGATATCGCGACGTTGTGTACATCGAACTTGTAGACGCTAACTGTGTACATGTACGAGCGTTCATACATTGAATTAGTCATAACACATCGCATGATCTTTAGCAAGAAAAAAAGTATTACGAGAATATGAAATTATCGTCAATACACTTAGTGTATATCTCTTACGGATCTGTTATCAGACTTATCAGACACGCGAAATAGTTAACAACTTATATATATCCCCTTATTGGTATTTTAAACTGTCCCTGAACATTCGTATCTATTTTTGTGGGAAGGTACTAAAGAAACGTTTGTAAATTAAAAGTTTGTCGACATTAAAATTTTTACAGAGTTTGTTTTATGAATGAAACAATTCCTTTCCTTTTCTTTTCTTTTCAAACAACTATGTAATTTGTTCGAAAATAATTCTACTTAGTTATAAAATAATTTGATCCAGTTTTTGTCTATAAGTAATCTTCAATTTTTTAATGAAAGCATAATAAAATGTTATAATATTAATTTAAAATGTTTAAATGTTTTATTATAATATCTTTATGTTTTCAAATGCGTGCCATTTTATTAAATTTGTATTAATTACCAGTCACAATATAATATGTGCTTTTGTTTCTACAAAATAGCTATGTAATTTTCTGAAGTTAATAAAGTTATATGCAAGGCGTTCCGCTTAGACGTTTAATAAAAGGAATTATCATCAATTCTGAATTTATCACAATTTACAGTGACATGTATTCTTCTAAGTACAAAAACTCAAAAAAATTTCAGAGCTGCTTTTTTGATGCCTATTTTCTGTTGACTAGTTCTCTCTTTGTATATTACCCACATTTCTTTTGTTATACGTCTAAGCAAAGCATCCTGTATATTAACATTTTATATCAACGTTCTAGAATTAAATTTTATATATTCGATACGTTTCGCACAATTTTATGGTGTTCAAAAAAAATTTATATTATACATTTATTGTTTTCTAAGACCATAATCATATATACTTGTACTTGATCAGTTAATACTCGATTTAAGTCATGATTTTGATCAAGAAAATGGAAAATGTGAAAAATATATAGTTGATACATTTCACTGGTTATATAAGGAAAAGCCTTTCTTCATATTATACGTAAATAAGCTGTGATTTTATTTTATTCATTACCAGTGGAGCTTTGCGCTTATCGATACAGCAGGTTGTACAATATTCACAAAATTTATGTACTCTGTCCTATAAGTCGTATAAATTAGACTTAGAATTATAATAATTAAGAAAAGATAATAAGATTTTAAGGAAACAAAATTTCATTTATTCGTTTTTTAGTGTTAATTTGGGATGATTCTGAATGAAAATGTAATTATTATCAACGAAAATTGTATCTACTATTAAAGATGCACGACAAGTGAGTCATCTCATTTGATCTTTCTCAAAAATGAAGCCTAAAAGAGATATCTGAGAGAAATATGCGACTTCTAGAACATCATATGTGATTGATATGTTAATTGTTAACATCTTGTTGAGACTTCTACGATACCGTTGTCAATTGTAAAATATGTATGCTCCAGGAAAGCAGATTCTAAGTGCCAGGCTGTTATTAATCGTGCATAGTCATTTGCATAAGAATCGTGCACCTCTTAAAGGATCGCGAAAGTGTATGAGGACTGAATGTGTGTGCCAAGTTATAAAGCATGTACAGATATATTAGATAGACGGTTATTGGAATAAGCAATGATTTTTTTCTAATGGAGAGAGCAAGTGATAAAAGATGTAAAGAGAATGAGAGAGGGAGAGTGAGAGAGAGAGAGAGAGAAAGAGAGAAAGAGAATGAAAGAAATATTTCGTGTATTCACGAGAAGCGAGCGTTTAAAGACTGACGTTGTACAATTACTTAGTGTAGCGTGAGAAAATCAATGCATATAAATATATGCAAGATCCTGTAATTGCGCGGTGGCGTTTTTAAAAACGGAAAATTAATTTAAGTTTCGGTCAATATATATGAAATATCACAAGCGCATCTTTATTTTTCTAAATAAAGCATTTGTTTCTTACCTTTCTCGTATTCGGATAGATCGCTGGAACGGAAATTCAATGAGAGTCCTAGCGAAACGTAAATCAAACTTATCGAAGTCTTACAAAGAGAAAAGTCGTTACTGAATTTATATATTATAAAACGACTTTCCTGAAAACGAAGCCTCATACATGTAAAAAATTTATTGTACATTTTCGATTTATTTTTTTATGTAGGATTACCTTCCCGATTGTATTATCGACTACAGGGTATCGTCTGTATGTATATAAGCTTATGATACCCAGTAAGGAAATTGTAATAAGTACGGATAAATTTATGTGTATTTAAATATCTCAATAAAGAGTAAAAATACGCCGTGCTTGTTTGCTTAAATTCTTTTAATAATATTTGTTAAATAACACAATATCATTAACAATATCATTATTGCGGGGATTGTTTAAAATATTTATACACTTCTATTAGGTGTACAACTTTGCTTCTGCCGTTTTTTTTCTGAAATTCGAGGCTTTATTGTGAAAAATTGGTTATACATTTATGATTCAAAGTATTGTCGCTGGCCCACTACTTTCTGCCATCTTTCGGGCAGCATACAAAAAAAAATCCTGCGTCAAAAAAACTGGTTATCTTTTGAGGCGATCCACGAATCGATCCAATTTTTTACTTCTTCATAAGACCGGAAATGCTGGTCAGCCAGGCCATGTGCCATTGATCAAAACAAGTAATAGTCAGAGGGAGCAACATGGAGAACACGGCGGGTGGGATAGGACTTTTAACGTTTCCAAGTATGTTGACCACTTCGCAATATGGGGTCGAGCATTGTCATGCTGCAAAATCACTTTATCGTGTCTCTCGTTGTATTGCGGCCGTTTGTCCTTCAATGCTCGGCTTCAACTCGTACGGCACCCAATTTCCTTACTTCTGAATCATTCCCACTTTGAGGCATTTTGAAATGGCTTGTTGAATCACTCCCAATGATCGTCACTCCAATTATTCTTGATTTTGACACGAGTCTTGATCAAGTAATGCCTCCAATTCTGCATCTTCGAAAACCTTCTCTCTTCCACCGCTATGCCGGTCTTCAAAATCACCGTTCTTGAAGCGTTGAAACCATTCACGACACGTTCTTTCACTAATAGTGGCCTCACCATAAGTATTTGAGAGCATTCGATGAGCCTCAGCCGCAAATTTCTTCATATTGAAGCAGAAAATTAAAACCTCCCGCAAATGACGAGAATTTGGCTCGTAAACTGACATTTTCAATCGAGAATAACTTTATGATGCAGACACAAATCGACTAATGTTTCTATGGGATTATGTTGACAGATGCCCAATTTATTGTATGACGTCTATAATCTATTTATTTCGACCACCACTTACCGTT